GGCAAAAGTCCTTGTTCAGCATATTCTTCTCTGTAGACTGGTACATAACTTACATGAACATTATCCCTAAAAATGCAAAAAAGGTAAATATAGGCTTTGTTTTATAATACATGAAAAACAAGATCTTGAAAATTATACTTACATAACTAGTCGCTAAGTGTAAAAAGTACACCGCGCCGCAATAACACAAGATTCTTCTGTCTCTGCGGTTCAACACTGTCTGAGTTGTTAGTGATGCAGCAAGAAGTAAGCTATCGAATAATGAATCATGTGTATTTTATACACAGTAGCGCCTACTTAAGGGTTAAATAACGAATGAGTTTCTGGAAATTCTAAGATATCCAATAAAAAACCACGAGAGTATCTGTAAAAACATTTTCAGGGTAACATTTTCACGGTTGCGGCTTCGAGATTATATTTCGTTTTTTTTTCTGCGTTTTCTTTCATGTTGAATGAAATGGTGGAAGCCGGTACAGTATTTACATCTTGAGAATAAACTACATGTTCCCCAAATCTCATTAAGCAACAATATATTTGCATCTGATATTTGCGTAAGCATTGACAATAAGATATGAACAAGGTGATTTTCTTTGAAAGTAGAGTACCAGAGTTTCTGTCAAAATGAGCCTCACAACCTGTAGTTTCTAGTAACTTAAGCTTTTTTGAACTATATCATCTATACGGACTGCTTTTAAACACAAAATATAGCTTTGCAAAACTGACGAAAGGAATGTATACCCTGTATATTTTTGCGATTTTTGATTATCCTTTTTTACACAATTTTTGGGAGGTTGAATTACTTTCAGTGTTATTTCTATAAATTCTAAAATACTCAATAAAGTACGTTGTATTCTGTAAAAACATTTTCAGTGTAACATATTCAAGGTTGCGGCTTAGAAATTATATACATATTTTGCTTCTTTCTACGTTTCGTTTAGTGATGTGCGACTTGGATATTTTCAAGTATCTGATAGTATCCGATGATTCAAATTTATGCATCCGATCTTTTGTATTGGATAGTGTGGATACTGCGGATCACAAAATGTGGATTTTAACTATAGGATGAAAAATATTAGTTTTGCTAATATTATGTTTTTTGTTTGTTAAAAATTGTTTTTTTAGCTATTTTATTATTTTTTATTATAAAGATTGAGAAGTATAAAAAATATACTGTAATTAGTCTCTAAAATAACTTTTATATTTCTAATCCAATGTCATAAAAAAATGGTTATATTAACCTAAAAGTATTCTTGAAATTTAACAAAAGTGTAAAACGATACTCATTTTTTTAATAATTAAACATGAAAAACTAAGGAACATTTTAAATATTCTAATAGTAAATTTTATTTTCGTTTAAAAAAACAACTTTTTCCACTGTCTCTGGATTCAAGCCAGAAAAAACTCTTTCGCAACCACGCTTGGCAAGTTGAGCTAATCTTGGATAAACTAATTGTCTACTTTTCCACCATTTCAAAACGATTTCGGTCCTGCCAATAACGGGCTCTTCATAATATCGCGTACTCAGGCAAAGTCCATCTTTTGTTTCTTACACGTAATAGACAATGAACAGATAATAATTAAAGTATCCGTTTTGCATATGCAGAAACCTGTAATGTACTTTCAAATATTCTTTGATTTGTTCATTAGATGGCGTGCAAAATCAAGCATCCATGGTATCCATCTGATCCTAGGATTTTATTTAAGTATCGGATACTTTCTATCGGATACCAATATTTTGGTTTTCTTTCATATTGAATGAAATGGTGAAAGCACCTATAGTATTTTACTTCTTGAGAATGAACTACATCTTTCCACAAACCTCATTGAGCAACAATCAATTTGCATCTTATATTGGCAATAAGATATTTACAAGGTGCTTTTCTTTGAAATATTTTGCATTGACGTTTAATAAGTGCACGGTACTGTCAAATATTCTGCCCAATAGAATTAAAATCACAGATGCCGAATCAGGCTCTCTGTTTACTCGAGATTTATGAACCGGAAGTATCGACTGAGTTACAAGTTGATATTTTATAATGGAAACGATATCCAGTTTTGCCCTCTCAGCCGGGGCTATTGCGGTTGGATGTTAAGATATCAGAACATTTAATGGAATGGCGACCCATTCCACAATACTTAAGTTGCTTTCGGTTTGCGCACAATCTCGGACAAGCTGGCTCATTTAATTTCACTCAGTTTATTACATGTTCGTTTTAACAACTATCGGCTTAAATGTAATGAGATTTTTAACACAGGTGAGCCAGACATCATATGTGGCAGCCTCATGTCTATTTGAGTGTCTCACCTCTGTTACAAAACCAGTGCAACAATCATCACATTTTGACGACTATTGCGTTAATGCCTCCAAGAGATGACGCATCACCAGCCAATCTAAACTGCGCGCTAATGCAGGTTCCACACGATGCTTCCAACGTTATTTACAACGTTCGACACCCCACAATTGGCAAGTGTGTCTCCTACATGATCATATAAACTTTAAGCGAAACCTTGAACGCAACACCAGTGGTCACGTTTATACCGTAATTACTAGTGCTGCTCTAAGCCCCTGAAAACCCCCAGCGTCCGTTGTAAATGAACTGGAGATGCGCCATCTCTTTAGCACAGACGTGTTTATGTGCTTCTACAGATTCGGGACAATTTAGAAGATAAGAACTTTAAAATACATATACTGGAGGGTTTTGAAAAAATTACAAAGTACAACTGTACAATTGTTGCTAATAACGAGCACCGATCAATTCTTCTTTTAACTAAGTACACAACGTTTCGATTAGTATCTCTAATCGTAATCATGGGTGTGAAATGAGAACTTATCCTAAAGGCTACCTATTTATACAGCGTGTTCCATAATGATATGCGAATATTTAAGGGTGTGAATCTACATGAAAAATTAATGTTAGTTTGCTTTATAAACTATGGTTTAAAAATGTTTCCTTGCAAAAACTCGGAGTGTTGTGTGTTCAGAAGATTTTTTTTGAGCTTTCTTCTCCATCGGCAAAAGGACAGCTTGGATATTAGGGAGAACTCCTCCTTGAGCAATCGTGATGCCTGAAAGCAGTTTGTTCAATTCTTCGTCGTTTCTGATGGCCAATAGCAGATGACGTGGAATAATACGGGTCTTTAAGGAATCGATAGACCTCGGAAATGATTGGTTGATGCTGCTGACTCCGATGGAACTGAAATAAATAGTCCATTCAGAAGTGGTTTCAGATGGGCCAATATAGCTAAGGGGTCTTCTCTAAGTTCTTCTGAAATTGTACAAAAGGATTTGTGTTGAATCTTTCCATCTTGTCTGTCGTACGCTAATGTAGTATATGGGACTGCTTGCAGTTTTGATTCCCCGACGCGCGATGGTTTGAATCTCCTTGTTATATTTGCATAGCTTTCTGAAAAGTTCATATGCAACACCATTTCATTTTCACTCAGATTTTTCTCTGGGTGTCGAGAGCCTTATATTGATGATTCATGTTTGCTACATGGTGCTTGAAATTCTCGAAGGTTCCTAGAAGTGTATCTACCATTTGTTTTCTTTATATCCGATTTTTTTTACTATTGCATATTGGACATATTCGTTCTAAGCAACTCTTTGTAACTTGTTCGCGACAAATACTTTTATGCTTGATACAAGATATTTAAAATAAACAACTTTTTCACAAATAATTCCATTTTCGCATCTTGTGCATAGACAAGTGTCGCGCTTATAGATATTTGGAAAGATTATCCAAAAAGACGAAGTCTACAGAAAAACGGATAATTGATGCGTCAGTTGATTTCGACCATAAAATCTTTATGCAAAGATTTCAGTGGCTTATTTATCAGGCTCTTTCGTTTTTTTAAGCCATGTCTAACTAATGTATCTTGCTTACCTGGACACATACGACTGGCAATATCAGTTTGTCTATACCCTATACCTTTTGAGTAATACTATTAGCATATACAAAGCTTCCAGTTAAAATATAGCGTCAAGTAGGTTGACTCTGCACTTTATACGCAACGCCATCAGCAGTTCATAAATTGAGCGCAATTTAAATCTTCTGAGGAGGTCAGTTACGAACATGTACAACAGATGCACGAGCAAACCTGTGATATGCCAAATATGGCTGATAGGAGCATAGAATTACCGGGGTTGGGAGCGTATAAGGACACTAATATCCAGACATTTTCATACACATCCCCTAACCCCTACAGCTCCCAACAACCAAATTTCAAGCACTACAAAGATTTTCAGGATTAAGATCCTCTAAAAACGAAGTCTGAGCGATTTCTATTTTTTCGTTTTTTGTTTTCTTCTCTGCCGTTGCTGGACCGTTTTACAAAAACTACAAAGACAGACCGACAGACAAAAAAATTTTGCCTCTTCGTAATGACTAGAAAGAATTGACATACCTTTGCGATGAGAATAAAGAAATAGAAAAACAGTAACACTTCGGTATAGATCTGATAATCTGCTTTAGATTGAAATTTGTGCTATGGCATTTTACGTAATTTCACTTCTATTACATTCTCATATCAGTTTTCGTCCAAATTGTATAGCATTATAAGTACTTAAGTACTTCAATCAAAATATGTGCTTTTAATTATTGGTCTGAAATGAATAATAATAATAGTAGACGTGTTTATTTATCTACAATTACGTTGTAGTATTGCGAAACGTGAGACTTATATGATAAAGCTTAGCATGCTGCTACTCTTACACTTGACCATATGCTTACTGGCAGATAAATAAACTATTCACAGATTAAGTTAGTTACGTCGAAAGTAGGAAATAAAAATGAAAATACTTTCTAAACCTATGTACACCAAAAACTACTGAATTGTATAAATCAAGGGATGAAAAAAGAAATGCATGATTTCGTAAATTATATGTTTGGGGGATAACCCACTAACGCCCAAATTAAACTTGAACATGGAAAACGGATATTATGCATATAAGGTAGGTTATTAGGACTAAAATAAAAACTGAAGATCATAAAACCATATATATTTTATTATTTTTACCAAAAAAATATCTGTACTCATCTGAGTAGAATGGGCGAAACCGTTTATTTTGTATGATGTAACTTGAAGTAGGCACGTCCAATACGTAGTGTTGACGAACCCTTGAATTGCATACTGCACATCGTAATTGCTTCTCTAGCTTCGCAGGAAAATGTTCGAATTTATGAAGGATTTCATTTCTCGTGTCTTGTGTCGAGTATTTTGAGATGCATATAACATGGACTGATCGACAATATGCCGTAAAACCGAGTCATCAAAGAAAAGCTCAAATAGTTGTACTGGATTTAAATCCTTTATCTCTTCCACTAGTTTATCCCTATTGGCATTCATTTCACATAAAGGTGGCGGCTCAGACCAAATGGATCATTCAGGATTGCATTTATCCCAGTCCAAGTAATCGTGTTTAGATTTATTTAGGTATTTGTATACGTTTTCGCACTTCACTCAAATGCTCTTCGTCGCTGCTTCATAACTCGTCATTAGCTGATCTTTGGCGAAACAGCTACAAACGACCGTAAACATCTTGTGGCATTCCATTTGCCATCAGTTGCTCTTCGTCCAATTCCTCCTCGTCACTCAAATAACGCGCGTCTGTAGGCAAGACCACAACATCGTCGTTATCTTTTAAATCATCTCGAGCATCAGGCAGAAAATTGTAATACTCGTATGTTTTAACAGGATCATCATAAAAAGGTTTATACATATCTAAAACAACAAAAAATAGCATTAGTCGACTGATAATGAATTTGCCCAGTGTACTTATTTGAGTACAGTCAAAACTTGAACATACATTCTAATTACATCAAATCGGTTAAAATAATTTATGCCCGGCAAATCAAACAAACACGAGTGTACTCGCTTGAGTACAGCGGGAGTTAATGGGTTAGGCAGCACTGTTTTAACTTTTCGTCGAAAGGCATTATAGGAAACGTTCAAAAAATGTAGACGTACGCAGGGATATTCTAATATTCTTTTCTCTAACAGTTCTACAGCGAGCACCATTATCAAATGATTTTTTTTTCTCAAGTAAGGGGGCTTTCGATGTGAGTAGTAATTTGTGCACAAAAACTGAATCATCAACCTTTAACCAGCTTAGACCGCGATATTTCGCTGACACATGATCAAATTTACGAAAGCCAAAAACGTATGCAATTGTTTTGAATAACTTCAATAAAGTTCTTGATATGGTTGTCTATAATCGCGCAGTATAGCAGTATACGTATACAATAATATAATATAGATATGACAAATGCTTCAGTCTTTTAGGTAGCTTAAAATTCAGTAGATAACTGTTTACTATAAGGGCATGTAGCCTTAGTTAGGTTCTCTGTGTAAGAAAAGACCTTAATTTTGTATCGAAAACAACACCAGGAATTTTTGCAAAATCAGAAAATTGCAAGGTTTGCTTACTTATTTGAATCTGTGTTACATTGTCTTTTTTACTTTGGGGCCAAAAGAATAACGTTTGAGAATTAATTAGTAGACTATGATCTTGAAAAGTACCTAATTAGTTTACTAACATCGTTTGGTAAAATTTGTGTAGTATTATTGACATTATTAAAATAACGGAGCAACTGCCTATTATCTGCAAAATACTGTACATGAGAATTATCAATAACTCTTCTGAAGTATGAATGATGAATAGCAGTGGCCCCAGTATACAGCCATGAGACGCGCCTGAGAGAATTACTGCCACTCAAGACATTTCTTGGTTAACAAAAATACACTGATGAAGGTAACTGTCGAAAAATGAAAGCGGTAAACTGTCAAGTCCTACATAACCCAACTAGCAAAGTAGTGCTATAAGCTTTTGGTAAAAGAACCGTTCAGCCATAAAAGCTCTTTATTGTTGTTACCTGAACATCAAAATGCTGGCTTAATGTTGTGTGGAATGCAAATTTGCTTTCTGCAACATTTTTGCTCTAAAATGAGGTGTTTAAAATATTCTTATAGCATAGTTACACAACACCTTATAGGACACATTTTTAACTGTTGCATAAACGTTTATACAACTATTTTATACAGCATATTTGCAGGTTAGTCAAAATGGTTGTGTTGTGGCATCCATGGTGACGTTTATAAAACAATCCCGAGCCTTGTTGCTTTGCTGTGCAAATTTAGTACTTTAGCCAACAAATTACTCCCAACGGAAGCACTTATACAACCGTTGTTTAGTAACTGTTAAAGGCTGTACATGTGCTAGCTATGTTGGTATAGAACTTCACCATAACCTAACTTCCTGCTGTCATATTTTTGTTAAAATGCCATAACCAATGTTTTAAGGCAAACAACGCATGCATATAGGTAAAAAAGGTTTTATCAACTGTTCAAACAGAAGATATGGATCTGGTACAAATTCTAAGTAAATCATTCGACTCTGTCGGTATTTCATTTCAGTCATTTGTCAAATTGTTATATAACACCTGCAGGCAACACCAAAATATTCTAATAAACTAAAGACAACACGGACGATGCCATGATTATACACAACCACCCGCCATATTGGGCAAACATTTATTCCTCTATTTGATATTAAATAATTATGTTTCAGTTCGAAACTACAGATATAAAGTGATAAACATTTGTGTAATTGTGTCTAAATATAGGATTTGTGGAAGATTTAACGCAGATAAGTTCAGTTTTCCATCTTAAAAATCCAGACATACTTTTAATCATTATCAAAATATGAATCAAATACGAACCCCGTAGAAATTGCGTAACTACTTTGCACGATAATCACAATAAAATTTGGTACGCAAGTAATTCAATAGCCCTATATCACAGTGTAGAAGTCTATCATATACCTGTGTATGAAATTCAATTGTGAATTGGGCCGATATGTAAGTAAACAAGATGACTGTATTATGTTAGTTATATATTCTTCTCTTCATCTATACAATACATAAGAAATAGTTTGGTTGCAATAAAGTAGAATCACGTAACAGAATAGTTGTATAGTTGACAAAAACTGAATCTTGCACTGATGCAAATGTCCTATAGCGGCTGCAAGAGGCTTACACTTTTGTTGTATAACTGTTACCTGCAGCCCTTATACAACCTCTTAAATGACTGAAGTGTTCTATTGGGTGTGCCCATTCCGCTTGTATAGCTGTTCTAAGAGGGTTTTGAGAATGTTCTTGCAGTATACAATGCTGTGTAAGGAATACTGTATAATCATTCTTGCAACTCTAATAGGAGTGATAATTGTTAGTTGGGAATTTAATTTAGGGAGCAATACTTTATGATTGATGTGGTCAAAAGAGTTTGAATAGTCCATCGAGATTACGCTAGTGCCATTTCCTGATCTAAGGCCCATATCGTCAGTCGTCCCTGCAATTGTAGGGCGCGTTTATGGCCTCCCTGATTGTCATACTCTTTCTCTCCTTCAAACATTTCTAGATTGCACCCGTCCCCTGTCAGCGTCAGCGCTCTCCTATTGTGAAGATATGTTTTCTTTTTATACTGTAGGAAACTTCAGGCTGATAAAACCTGATATAACTCAAAAGCAAGCACAATTTTATGCAAATAGATGAATGTGACATAACCTCAAAATAGTGCGCTGACACGGAGAAGTAGAAAACTATGACAATCAAGGAAGCCATAAAGGCGCCCTACAATTCTAGGGACGACTGACGATACGGGCCTAAGGCATTGAACATATTGTCTTGCAGTTTGAGTGGGGTGTTGTTTAATAGCTTTTCCTTAAGCCGGATTGAGGCTTCTAATATTACACAACTAGGAAATTGACTCAAGCTCCGTGGATACTAGCTCAAGCAACCAAAAAACATTGACGCACTCATAATAATGCCAAGAATGACCTCATGTGACGAGAGTTATAAAATATGGCAACTTGCCACTACTTACATTACCAATTTCAGGAAATCCATTAGTAGAGCAAAGTTGTTTTATAGAAAACATATCATTCATGTACAAGCAATCATCAATCTTATCACCAGCCACCTCAAGGCTTTCACTTCTTGTCCCCCAACTCTTAGAAGACGTAGTTCATTTTTTTAAGAGCATCCGCAGGCAACAAGACATTTGTCTACATGGATAAGAGCTGAAGATAAAAAAGTGGAAGGCTTACTTAGCTGTATCTCATCCTGGACAAATGTAAATCTATTTATGGGTACATTAATGAAATTGAGTAGATTTTTCTTTCTGACGTGACGCGCTCGGCAGATAAAAAGCGTGCGGTGCTGGAAGGCAGAGGAAATGTTTGCAGCGAGGACCGTCTGTCGGTCGGTCGGTGTCTTCTTGTCGGCTGCTGAATTAGCGCGCTTTTTGATCCGCTAATTCATCTAGTGCACGAAGTCCCTTTGCTCGAAGTTGGCCCTATAGCACGGGTGAAAATATGCAACCATTGAAAAGATTCAACGTAAGACGGTCAGTCATTTTCTCCAGGAAACAATGGCGTCTAGTGGGTGGACCCTGCACTTCCTAGACAACGCCGTCACCGGTCATAAAGGATTAAGTTTCTGCAATTCAAATCCTCTGAGAAAATATCTTGTTACGGACATGTTGGACAGAGAAATAAGCGTATTAATTCAGTCAAATAGGCCCATACAATAACTAGTCCATAGACATTCTTTCCTTACCCTACTGGTAGTTACCGATCATGTGGCAACGCTATACAGGTTGTAAGCGTTATAGTAGTCATTATTGAAATGGGTAATAGGGGGGTCAAAACAAGTCACAAAGTTCATATGACGCATGGTCCAAAAGTCAATAGGTTTTTGTCTAAATGGCTTTATAGTTTATAACCTTAAGTGCTTTATATCGACCACAATCACCAGAATCTTACTAATTTTTATAATCTAATCTAAAAAGTTTTTAAATCGGGTAGTTAACAGATAAATGGCATTAAGTTTGTCTAAGTTAACCGAAAATTTGTAGTCGGTAAGTAAGTAAGTTAAATTAAATTGGATATTTAAAGCATACATGACAACAGCGCGTCGGCCTTTCATCACGCTTATCGAACCGGCAATCGATCGCAAGCGGTAACGGTGGTTAGTATTCGGGCGTCGGGCGTGTTGTTTTGTTTTTGTTTGCGTACGTCCTCGTGTTCATTTACAATGTTCTCGAATCAAGAGTTAGACGACATGTTGTTGACGATGTGTGTATCGCGACAGATTTCGCCAACGGGTACACCCAGACAGAAGGACATTTGTACAAGTGTACCAAAGACTTCGAAATACAGGAAGTGTTCAGCCCACTAATATTCGCACTCGTGAAAAACAGATTACCTTAGAGCGGGAGGAACAAATTTTAAATATCGTGGAAATCAATGCAGATTTCACCACTCGGGAATTAGGCCGCCGCGTAGGACTATCGGATACCATAGTCCATAGAATCCTACCGGAAAATTTGCTTTATCCCTACCATGTACAATGAGTGCAGGCCTCGTTACCAGTTTTGCACAAATACATTGAAAATCCGTTTTTAAATGGACGAATGTACTTTTACGCGAGACGGGATATTAAATTTCCATAATACTCACACTTGGGCCCAAGAAAATCCTCATACCATTCGTGAAGGTAATTTCCAACAATTGGCCTTCCGAGTTACCCCCAAAGTTGTCAGGAGAAGGATACCTTAGCTTACTAGCCAATAACCTACCAGAACTATTAGAACAGACCTTAGACAACATGCCATTACAACGGAGACAGAATTTGTGGTTTCTTCATAACGGGGCACCACCAT